GGGTGGGGGGGGGGGGGGTGTCAGAGGAGGCAGGAGGCTGGGCCGGGGGGAGAGGGGAGAGCCGGGGTGGGAAGTGGTGCCAGGATATGGGTCCTTGCACGCCAGGCTGGGCAGCTCACTCTAATGGTAACACACTCATCCCTTCACTCAGTCAGTGTCAGGGGGCTGGGCACAGAGATGCTGAGCTGGGACCTGGTGCATCCCAGTGCCCGTGGGCCTCTGTGGGTGGGGATGGCGGACACACCGGAGGCAGCTGCATGCGCAGGTGTGGGGAGGCCGTGGGGGGAACAGGAGTTGCCAGGCCTTAGCAGTCAAAAGGAAGGTTGAGTTTTATTTGTTTAAAGTTTTTTAAATCTATTGATTTAGAGAGAGAGAGAAACAGACAGACAGACAGGGGCTTGCTCCGCCTCTCCATGCGCCCACTGGTTGACGCTTGTATGTGTTGACCTGACGGGGTTGAGCCCGCCCCCTGGGTGTGTCAGGACAGCACTCTGACCGGCAGCTCCCCGGCCAGGGCGGGCGAGAGCTGCGTTTTCAGGAGGAGGGACAGCTAGTCAGGTCTGTGGAGTCTGTAGGGTGAGCGGCTTCGGGGAGGGAGGACCCCCAGGATCTGCGCAGAGTTGGGGGAGAAGGAAGGAAGGTGAGCGGGGCAAAGGACTTGGGGCCTGGTGCCCAGGGCGCTGGGAGGATGCTGGGGGAGCCCCATCGGGTCCTGCAGCCTCGTGGTGGGGTCTGGCTGTTGGGGGGCAGGGAGCTGGGGGACTGAGCAGGGGTTCCGGCTTTGAGTGACACTTGACCCCTCTGAGCCTCAGTTTCCTTATCTGCAGAATGGGCCTGTAGGAACAGGCCCTGTGAGGTGGGGAGATTTCCGAGACCAGATCTGCCCAGTGTAGCCTGGGGTCTGTCGCAGGGGGTGCTCGCTACGCCTGGAGGAGACACGCAGGTGGCCCGCCTGGCGCCTGGCTGACGGCTCCCCCTGTTCCACTCGCAGAGTCCCCAGAAGTGAGGGCCACTCCTGAGGGGCCGCCGGCAGCTGAGGAGCCGCGGGCAGCGGAGGATTCGGGCCGACACTGACAGAAGAGACCCCCGGATGCGGGCTGACCCCAGGCAGCCCCCGCTCCCGGGCTGCCGGCTGAGCTGCCTGCTCCTCCTGAGAGTGCGCATGCGTGGGGCTGACAGGTGTGCGGGCCTGGGAACGGAAGGGAGGACTTTTATACTTTTGTATCTTTGTAACCAGAGAGATATGCGGATGTTATTTTTTAGCTTTTCTGTTGCCTGGGGTTCTGAGGCGGGGCTGGGAGGGAGCGGGCCGAGGGGAGAGGTGCAGAGTTTGACTCCGTTGGGCTTCCCGGCACCAGATGCTCTTTTCTCTCCTCTTAACTGGTCGGCTCCGCAGATCCTCCCGTCCCCCCAGGGGGATCTGAACATCGCCAGGGCCCGGAGAACAGAACTGATCTTTGCTTTTTCTTGGATGCAAACTCCTGAGACTGGGGTGGGGCTTGGAAACAAGGGTCCCCTGGCCGCCTCACAGGGCCCACTCGTGCCGCCCCTCCCCGTGGGTTTGGGTGTTCACGGTCCGGAGCCCCTGCCGTTACTGCCTTATGACCGAGGACTGCTGCTGGTGCCAGAGCCGGGTCCCTCCTCCCAGAGGGCTGCAGGCCTCGCGTCACCGCCCGCAGGGGGCGCCCGCCCTGCTGTGAGCAGAGCTGTCTGGTGCCCGCCAGGACTCATGCCGAGGGCTGGGTGGGAGGGACAGCCAGGGATCAGAACCAAGGGACTGACGATGCCCAGTGTAGGTGCCACCCCCATGTTTACAGGAGCGCCCGGCCCGCACCGGCTGAGCGAGCGGCTCCCTCCCGCGCCCACCCCCTTCCGCTGGGAGACAGGACTGTTAGGACCCTGTGCACAAAACTCCGTTTTATTGCTTTGTCTGATGCCCGGAACTGGGAACTTCTGCATTTTGTTACTTTGTTTACAGGTCAGGATTGAAAACATTTTAAGCCTTTGTTTACAACTGGAACTTTTTACACTTTGTTTACAGTTTAGAATGTTTCCACCCCCTTTGTTTACAAGTGGGAGGTAGCAAAAGTGGGAGAGGGGCTGGAGGAGCCCACCTGGCAGGGCCCTGGCCCTCTGCGGGGTGTAACCCCCGCTGTCCCACCAGAGGTCAGCCCTGAGTGCCTGCGGACAGCGGACAGCGGCCGGGAGGCCTCCTCTTACCACCGGGACAGGGTCTTGCAGGGGTGGGGGCGGGGCGGGCAGACAGCCCCTCCTCCACTGCCGCTCTTGGGAGCAGTTTCCCAGGAGACTGAACGCTCTGCTTGACTGACAGGTGCCAAATCCCACCGGCCAGGACCCGCTCTCCTGACCAGAGGCGGGGTCCGCGGGCGGGGAGAGGGGCTGTCCTTGCTATGTCCCAGGCTCTGTGGATGCCCCTCTCTGGGGTCGCCCCCTTCAGCCCGTGGCCCCCCCTTCCTGTCTGTGTACATGGTTCCGTGAAGCCGCGCTCTGTTTTGGGAATAAACTTCTATAGAAAATGATTATTGTCTCTTTCTTAAAAATGTATTGATTTCAGAGAGAGAAAGGGAGAGAAACATCAGTTTGTTGTCCCACTTATGCACTCATTGGTTGCTTCTTTTTTTTTTTTGATATATTTTTATTGATTTCTGAGAGGAAGGGAAAGGGAGATAGAAACATCAATGATGTAAGAGAATCATTGATCGGCTGCCTCCTGCTCGCCCCCTACTGGGGATGGAGCCCTGCAACCCGGGCCTGTGCCCTTGACTGGAATGGAACCCAGGACCCTTCCGTCCACAGGCGACGCTCTATCCATTGAGCCACACTGGCCAGGGCCATTGGCTGCTTCTTGTACCTGCCCTGACAGGGGTGGGCAGGCTCCAGCCAGGGGGCCCCTGGCCCGGCCTCTGGTCTCTCGTGGGTGGGTAGGAGGTGGCTGTGGCGACCCAGGAGGCCGAGCTCGGGGAGAAACCTGAGCGGGACCTTCTCCTGAGGCTCAGCTATTTTTAGCCCATTTCATGGGCGAGCCGGCGGCTCCCATCCCCTTTGCCCTCAGTTCTGGCCTCACCTTGTGACTGGGCCCAGTGAGGGCCGCGGGGAACCCCGCCTCCGCAGGGCAGGCCGGGCTGCAGG